AGAATGGCATGCAGAAGAGCCGAGGATGAAGCACTGTTGTTGGTCATGGCCATTCTCATAAGTGCATCACGGATGCCAGCCGTTGTCGTGCTGAATGTGACCAAAGATAAGTGCGCTAGGTCATGAACTAATACAAGTCAGAAGATATGGACATTGTGAATGTGATGTAGCCCTCACAGTAATTTAGCAGTTCATTCTGATTGGTATATATTGCGGACTGTTTTAGTGACTTTGGAGGCTGGATGTGTGCCTGAACCTGGCCACACTGTGAGGACAGGTAATTATGTAGCTCGACGTCCCAAAATGATGTGTTGATCAAGAAGAGGCGACTGGGGATCTCGCCTGTCTTTCGAGAGGATACAGGCGCTTGCGTTGCTGAAGTGCATACTATCGCCCGCTTCCTGTCATTATTTCTCGGCCATGATAACCGAGCTTCATAGCCTTGACAGGTCAGTTGAGCCCGCTTGCATTTGTTACAATTCGGTCGGACTCCGTCGCACTGAATCTTGCGAGCTGATGCTGATGCTTAGTGATGACCAATTCGCTGCCAGCCTGGCCGACACTCACCTGCGCAAGTCCAACAGCTTTTTCGGGGTTTCATCTCAACAAACCAACCCGAATCACCGATTAATTTCGTTTCTGGTAGCAAATATCGCACGGTAGATGAAAGCAGTAAGATCTCAATCTCTCGGTCAAAGTTGCTGGTGATGGGGTCTCTCAGATGATAAGCAGACCCAGAATTTGTCATCAGCACTAAGTTCAGAAGCACCAATGACCAGCGGAGGCGACATTCTCCTGTCATCATGTCCCCCACTCGAAGCAACTCTTATCGAAGCTAAGATCGGACACTTGCCTACGCCAAGCCTCGAAGACCACCGGACTTTTAACATGCTTGCGAAGACTCCGTCTCCAGAGAACTCCCGGATCATGTATTCGTCATTCAACTTAGAGTACATTAGAAATCACTGCGGAATGAGACCATTGTTTGACCATGGTCAGGGCCCAGAGAATAAACAGGTTATATATACCGCTGATGCATCACCAGAGGGCAGTTACTCAGCCATTCAGACTATCTCTAATTATCACACTTTCACTCCCATTATCTCTTTATAACCAATACTAAGATGTCTGTCTATCTCGTCACCCAGGCCACTGGCCAGCAAAGCCAATGGGTCATCAAGCACCTACTTGAAGCTGGCCACCAGATCCATGCTGTTGTCCGTAATATCGAGAAGATCCCAGCCCTGCTTAACGACCCAAGCATTACTCTCTTCCAAGGAGAAAGCAAGAACCTCGACGATATCTTTAAAGCTTCTCAGGGCTGTCAAGGCGCTTTTCTCAACACCGTTTCCTTCCCTGGCTTGGAGGTCCCTCAGGCCAAAACGATCGTCGAAGCTTGTGACAAAGCTGGCGTCAAGCACCTCATCGCCGCCACCGCCATTGGTACGAACCGGAAAGACCTATGGGATAACGCAGATGTCAAAGCTATCCCTCATCTCCATGAATACTACACTTCTAAATATGAGGTCGAGAATATTGTTCGCATAGGAAAGTTCGAGTCATACACGATTCTCCGACCTGCACTTATCCACTACGATTTCTTTATCCCAGGCGCCTATAAGAACTTTCCACGCCTCCCAACCGATGGGGAAATCGATGATCTACTCACTGGTGGTGCCAAATTCCCTTACACTGATGCTCACGACGTGGGAAAGTACGCTGCTGCAGCCCTTCAGGACCCTACCAAATTCCGAGGCCAAGAAATTGACCTTGGAAATGAGCTGTTCGACTTTGAGCAGATCCGCGATATCCTGGTCAAGGTCAGCGGTAGGGAAGTCAGGGTTGTGAAGCGCACTCCTGAAGACGTGGAGAAGTTGGGCATTGCTGTTCATGGTCACATGTTTCAGCATTTCGCCAACTTGAAGCCTTTTGACTTTGTTCAAGGAGGGGCCAGAGAGGTCCAGGAAGAATTTAGTATTCGTTTTACTTCACTCGAAGCCGCGTTGCGGAGGGATATGGTTAGGCTCATGGAGTGTATTCCAGCCAAGAAGGAGGTATAATATGGGATTATAGTGAGATGTTTCGTAGTATGATAGCCAAGTAATCTTCAGGATAAGGTGACCATTTATATCTGAGGTTGTTTAACGAAAGCCACTGCGTGCTCGACACATGACGAAAGCTTCAAGTCGAGTGACAAACAAGCTCAAAGGATAAAGAAGGGCATGGCAATGCTCCTGTAGATAGGGCCCCATCAAAAGCCTCTCAAAAAACACAATCTCAAAGATTCTGAGTCAAGAGGGAATTCAAAGGCACGGGTATTTGCAGACCATTGCATGCTCAGTGCTTGTAGCATCCAGGCAAGCTCTTAACACATCCGTACGAGCACCCTCACCAGTCCATATAGGATATTTATGCGTGTCCACCCATTGAGAGCTTGGTCCCTTCAAGGGACGCTTTCCCCATCCCATCTTCTCTGCTTGGAACTGCTCCAGCACGTATAGATGCTTATGTATCTTGGGGTTGTTTGGTAATTCAACCGGATCCGGCTTGGGGCCCGAAATGCCGTCTTCTCGCTCTTGTAGCCTCATGATCAATGCCGTTACCGTACCGAGGGTTGTTCGAAATCCTTGCGCTGGTCCAAGACTAATAGACTCAGATACATCCTTGAGCAAGTCGATTTCCGAGTGGATGTCTGAGTGCAAACCATCCGTGCTCCCAGTGAGAACAAGAAAAACTGGTAGCTGAGAAATATCCGAGACGACTCCACAGCTCGGGTAGTCGCTCTGCCGTATGACGACAGACAAAGCTCGAAACAATGGGCGGATAGAATAATGCTTGCGTCCTGGGATGTCAGCATCAAGCAAGGCGCGATCGCCCTTTGTGCAGATTGCTCGGTTCAATACCAATCCCACGCGGGCTGCCGAAGAATTATCAAGTAGTGCAATAGAGTCCAACCGAAGCAACTTGGCCAAGAACTGATCATACTCAATATCAGTACGATAAGGCTTGAAATAGACTTGATGAATGTAGTTGAGCACGGCGATGTGGATTAGGGGCCCTAGAGTTCTGTTACTGGAGCTGATGCGATCCGAGAACAAAAAGATGGGAAAGATCTTGTTGCAGAAGCTCAAAGCTGAATGTCCTTGGATGCTTTCTAGATCACGCTTGGTATGTATTCCATCAAATTGGGTATACCATACCCGATGAATGTATTTGGCTTCGAGGCGGCCGCGTATGTAATGAAGAATCTCGTGTCGCTGTAGTTCAACGTCACCACGGAAGACAGCATCGACTCCGTAACGGGCTTCGTAGGGCGCGAGAGTACTCTTGTCATCTTTTTTCATAGGAAGATCCATTGAAAATGCATCTTGTGTAATAAATGGTGAGTAGAACAAGCTTTCCATGATGTTAGTCTTGCACTGTTGTGATTGGGGGTGCTGGAGAGAAGGTTGGAAGAGCGAGTATATGGTATCAAGAGGAGAGTGGATGACGAGAGGTTTTGTGTTAAATGAGCAATCGCTGGACACGTCATTGATTGAAGCACTGTAAAGCTTCTATCAATTTACACCGACAGACTATAGACTCGTAAACTCTAACGTCACCTGCCGTACCTGAGTGGCACCAGAAGGCGTTTCTAGGTAACGCCCCTTTCATCCTTGTAACGGCGGTCAAATGTGGCTCTCGTCGTCAGATCCACAATTGACCACTCTCTGTTGCGGACTTCCATAGTCATGGTCCAGAATAGTCCGCAAATTACATGCAAATTCTGCCTAGTACCATAACTGCAAATTGATAGCCTTGAGAGTTCTTATAAAATGGACGTCGCTGGCTGGGTCTTGGATCTGTTCACCTGGCATTCCTCCTTGTCTGCTGCCAACATCTCCAAAAGCTTCCTCCATCATGCCAAACAACGCCGAATCCCCTGCTTTCGTATACACGCCCGTACAACTAACGAACAAACTGCATTCACTTGTGTATGATGCTATAGATCCTTCACAGCCTTCGCTTTCCCAAGCTGGGAGGACAGTTCTCATCACCGGTGGATCGGCTGGTATCGGCTACGCCATTGCCGAGAACTTTGCTTTGGCTGGTGCAGATAAGATCATACTCACTGGTAGAACTCGCCCAAAGCTTGACGAGGCGATAGCAAGACTCGCTCATGATCACAGCGATTGCGATACCAAATTTGAAGGGGTAGTCTGTCAAATGTCTGACTCCAGCAGTATCGATCAGATGTTTGAAAGTTTGGGCGCAAATGGTGTTCATGTGGATGTCTTGGTCCTCAATGCTGCTCTCAATGTTGAAGGGACATTGTCGCATCAAGGCTGGGAGAAGACGTGGGAGCAGTTCATGGTCAATATTCGCGCGCTACATCAACTATGCGATCGCCTACACGGGCAAGAACAGGAAAAAAGAAAGGTATGAAACCAGCTGTCATTCTTTCTCCTTCTCACCTCCTCCCCTCGCTTGACAAACCATTGACAACGCGGACCATAGTACTATATAGTCAACGTCTCAACGGGTGCCATCCATGACTTTGGCAGCCCTAAAAGTCTGTCTTCGTATTCCTTAACAAAGGCATCCGGAACCTTGCTACTCCAGAAATTTGCAGACGAGAAGGATGTATCTCAAACTCAGATCGTCAGCTACCATCCAGGCGCCATTCTTACAGACCAAGCTCGAGAGAAAGGGATGACAGAAACGATGATGAATTGGGACGACGGTAAGTTTTATGATGTGCTCTCACGATAAGAACATGCCTAATGGTTTGTAGTGGCTCTTCCAGGCGCGTTTGCTGTCTGGTGCGCGTCAGATGAAGCTGCCTTTTTGCACGGTCGATTTGTATGGTCAGCTTGGGATGTCGAGGAGCTGAAGAGTGGATCGATTAGGAATAAGCTTGACAAAGACGGCCAGTTTCTTCGAATTGGTGTTCATGGTTTGTAGCGGCAGATTAATCAAGAGCGATAACTTGTATGCACTACTGTTATGTTGATGATAAGTCATGCACCCACCTGGCCCCATCGCTGTAAGGCTTCTCTATCGTGACGAAGCCAGGTATTCATGGTCGAGAGCCCTTCACCCGCAGCGCGCAATAGAACCCCTAGATCATCCAAGTCACCAGGCATTGCATCGCGGATGTCTTTATGTAAGCGAAGCATGTTGCATGGCAGCGAGGGACGCGCGAAATCGGCAGACACAAGCTGCCATTCTGCAGCCGACTTGGCTTCCCAAAGAGCCTTCTGTGCATTAAATCTTAGGTCGTGATGACACCGGACACCTATGGGCCAGTTCCCTCGAAGGTAAGTGTAGGTGCCTTGGGCAAGCTCTATGCATATGAGCGTTCGACGGACTGCTTCTTGCTCAACCCAAGTCTCCCAGCTCGCCTCGATAGGGTCATCATCACAAACCAATGACATTTGCAATCGCGATGCCCAAATATGAAGAACAATGTTATCGCGCTCCGCCTGTGTTTGTTGGCTGATACTGCCTGGTGAGAAGAGTCGCATACATTGATAGACAAGAAGTGCCTGCACCGAGGGAAGCATTTGCAAGTCGACAGTATCATCGCTTATTGACGCTGCATATAAGACCGTGACAATACTCGAGGCGCGCCTTGTAATCTCAGAATCGACGAAGCGCGCGTTAGAAGGATTTCGCACGACGTGTAGAGCACTCCCAGCTAACGCGTCGCGTAATGCATCTGACGCCAGAGTCTGTGATGAGTGGACGAATACATTGAACCCCTTCTCAGCCAGTGCCGCGGACTGCAGCGACATCAAATGAGCCAAGAATTCTGCGCGCGCCGTAAAATCGTCTGCTAATTGGGGGGAATATTCCGCAGAGTCGAGCTGCATGCCATATGCTTCAGTCGTGGAGATCAAAGAGGGCATCTGAAGAGAAAGCAAAGCATCGTCAATTGAATCACTGAGGAGCGGGCTACCAGAGGCACTTGGGAGCGAAGGTGACACGGGCGTGAAGGTGGGATACGAGCATTTCACGCCTTTCGCTGCGCAGCGCCTGCAGCTGGGGAGACTGAGGCTGCAGCGACGCTTGGAGCGTGCGCAAGCACTGCAAGACTTGCGCCGTAGAGACTGTCGCATCGCGACAATCAATGAAGGGGAGTGAATGCGAGCAATTCAGTTGAGTTTGCTGAAGCTTAATGTTTGTTTTTGAGCCGCGCCATTGTTTAGTCAAGCCTTACAGTGAGCCACCCACTGGAAAAGCGCCATAAAAGCAACCCCCAAGCCACTGAGTGACCAAGAGCGGGGCGGAAAACAACTGCGGGATCCACTTCTGGCCGCCTCCTTTAACATGCAACTTAAGTAGTCTTATGAAAACAAATGCGTAAAGTAGAGCCTCTTGGTGTCACAAGCCCCTCATCTCATCATCAGCGTTGTCACAATGCGCAGCGTGGCACTTCGACACTTGAGAACCAGAGTTACACTCTCTTCTTTGCCCTCGCGACATCGTTTGACCTTTCCTTCAGGCACAAGTCTACGCTACACTCGAACAACAGCAACGTCATCCTCTCCAGTCTTGTATCTTCCAATAGAGGACGTTGAAAGCCTGTATGGCTATAGCCCAGGAGGCTATCATCCAATTGATATCGGTGACCGTCTCGCTAGCCGATATCGCGTTGTACATAAGCTCGGACACGGCAGCTTCTCAACCATTTGGCTTGCTCGTGATGAAATCGCATCCAAGTATGTCGCTGTTAAAGTTGGGATAGCAAATTCAGACCAGCGGGAAGTGGACATCATCAGGCATCTTTCCCATTCGTCTCATGGATCGGAGCATTATGGGGAGGGATGCATTCTTCCGATCCTGGACCATTTCTGCATCGCGGGGCCCAATGGAACCATCCATGCTTCGTCACCGCACTTGCGCGATGCAGTCTCAGGGACGCGCAAGATGCCGCTGACTTCTATATGTTTCAGCTTCCAGTTGCAAGATCCATAGCTTCTCAGATGGTCTACGTTGTAGCTTACATTCACCGTCAGGGCTTGGCCCATGGCGGTGAGTATCACCTCTTTTTCAACGCGAGATCTGCGAGATACTGACTTCGCTATCAGACCTCCACTTGGGGAACTTCCTTCTCCGTTTACCGTCTACTATCGACCACCTGTCAGATAACCAGATATACGAGAAGTTTTCTCCACCGAGACCCGAGCCCGTCATCCGAGAAGACGCGCAACCTCTTCCACCAGGCGTACCTGAACATGTTTACTGGCCAATTTGGATACCGTAGGGAAGCAACAAGCTTACGCCCTCTGAGTCAAAGATCCTACTCGCCGACTTCGGCACAGCATTTTATCCCCACCGAAGACCAAGATTTGGGTCTTCTACGCCTCTCGACATATCCCCGCCCGAGGCACGATTCGAGCCAACAACTCCACTGTCTTTCTCAGCTGATATCTGGAGCCTTGCGCATGCCATCTGGGCAGTAATGGGACTGAAGACCGTCGTTGGTAGCTTCTTGTTGAGTGAGGATGACGTTACTCAAGAACAGGTTGATACTCTCGGGATTCTGCCTGACGAATGGTGGAACAAATGGGAAGCCAGATCCCGATGGTTCATGGAAGATGGAAGCCATAAGAACGGTGGATGCCCAGAGAGGTTGGAGGGACGGTTTGACTCAAGTATTCAGGACCCAAGACGCAAGCGTGGCATGGAGATTCTTGGTGAAAAGGAAAGTCACGCCTTTAAAGAAATGATACGGTGGATGCTATCTTACAGCCCTGGCGATCGACCAACCGCAGAGCAAATTTTAAAAACAGATTGGATGAAATATTGGGCAATGCCCAACTTTGATAACATTCATAAATGAAAGGAATAATCTAAACACATTTGAATCTATGGAATCGTAAGAATGCTCTTTAATCAGTCCGTATATCTGTTATTATCGTATGACTAGCCTAATACAACAGTGCAAGACAAGGCCTCCATCAAATTTGTTTGCAGTGCGTTGCCAAGCCTGCCTCGTCCTCTTCAATCATTCTCTTCACCTCACACTGAGGACACTCCGATGCTGGCATATATCCTTCCAAGTCTCGAATCTCAAGCTGACAATCTTTCGCTTTATCACTACCCTCGTAGATAATTCCCTGGCATGACAAAGTTTGATCGAATGACAAAAGATCCTTGCACACAGCGCAATAGTACTTTGTGAAAGTGACTCTGCACATCTTGATGTACGGAAAGGGATGTGTTGGGAGAGTGGGTGAGGATGGAGATGAAGGCATGGTTGCTTAGAGACGAGAGAGGATATGGGTTTTATACTATTCTTCGCTTTGGAATATCAGGGCTACAGCCGTGTTCCACGATCAGACCGGCTCAAATATCGGCTGTTCAGGGAACAAACGCCACTATTGTGTTGCGATTCTGCTATGATCTCCTCTCTGTTCATTTTTCTTCTTTCCTCTCAGGCAGATGCAAACTCATCTGTTCGGGTAGGTTCTATACTGCCTTTCTCCACCTGGTCTGGAGCGGCAGAACATTCTCTTTATTCCGTCGAACTCCGTGCGAAAGCAACTGAGCATCACTGTAACTCAAATATTTTTGGAGTCAGTGGTTTTCCTTTTGATGACACTGAACTAATGCGAGACAATACTAAGGAACGGGTTTACTTTTACAGATGTCCAAGCAGTGAGGGAATCTCTCAGAACTCAACTATGTACTCTGATTTGGGTCGGAATCAGAGACCTTTGGGACATAACCAATCCACCATCTGCTCATGTATTTGTAGGACCTCTTCTTTCTGCCTGTTCTCTCTCCTTTTCTCTGCATTTTCGACATTTTGTATTCGAGCGAGGTTTGTCTATCCTCTCGATGGCAATCCTGCATCCTCTTCTCGGCTCCCCTGGATGCTCATAGCATTCATGGTCTGTTCTCCAGCTCAGAAGGTGATTGCATTTTGCGCATCGGAAGTTAGTATATTGGGTAAAGCACATTTTTCTAACAAATATTGGAGCGGTTTTAGTATTCTTTAGTATGGCGTTTGAATCTTATCCGAATTTGGGATTTTGAAGTTGGCAAAGAGTTATGGGATGAAACCGCCGCTTTATATAAATTTGTATTTATGGTTGGTGAATCATATATCCATCTGATTGTCACCTTCACTCATGTGCTCTTCTGTATACATGTTTGTGACTCAGGTTTCTCAATTCTTTTCCTTGGCCTTCCTCCTTTCCTTCGTCAGGCAGCTGTTGCAATGCCAATAGCCTATGTCCCTATTGACTGTCTCGCTTGTGGATATGCAGCTTCCACTTCTTCTTCGCTTATCACAAGACTGATGCACTGTTTGCTCAGAAAGAAAATGTCTGCACCTCTCACAGTAGTACCTATATCTGACATTCCTGCACATATCGGCGATGATGATGAGTTTTATTTAACCTTGTTGGTTTTTGTTGGACTTCGGGAGTTTAGTGGATTTATTATACAAGGTTTATGCGTGATTTCTCAGGTTATATACGAACATGTCCTTTTTTAGTCACTGTCCATGTGTCTTGATCTGTGACTGATACACAATGGAATTATAGCTGAAGTATCTCGTGATTCATGTTACGTCTAGCCAGCTGATACAAGAGTACAAGCCCATGGAAGGTTCAATCCAGTGTCATCCGTGTGACTTTTCACTCGCACTGAATCAGTCTCCTACTCGTCTTGAATTTCCCCCTCCTTGAGAGCACTGTGCCCAAACTTTGCCAACAGATCCTCCAGTGACGTTTCAGAGGAACCATTAACAAGCGCCAAGATCTCTTTTGTTTCTTCATCATTCAATGCGACCTTTCCATACTTTTTCGCCAAATCAGTACCGTATACAAAGAATTCGTATCCGTGAGCTCCGACAACGTCAGGCTTGTGTGAAGAGGTACACTTGATGTCAGGCAACTTTGTATCTTGATCAGGCATAGCTTCACTATGTTCAAGACCGCGGTCAGAGAGGCACATGTGTTCACGAATGTAGTTGCAGTCGAAGAAGATAGATCCGCCTGACCAAGCGTATCCGTTACCAGTCAGACAAGTCGTGCTTTTGAATGTGAGGATTGCCTTCTGTGACACCCCGCAGTAGTCGTGAGGGTCTTGGTCGTTCGTGACACAAGTCTTGGGGCCTTTAGGCAGGCCCCCAAACTTGGCGGAACGAAAGGTCTGGTTATCTTCACAACACTGCCCTGCTCGGCGGTTGTAGCAACGGTGGTAAGAGCCTTGGCAGTTATGTGAGCCCCAGTAGTTGGTGATTGTTGATGCGCTGCAAAGAACGATAGCGAAAGCGATGAGGAGGAGAAGATGCCGAGACATATTGGAAGATCTGTGAGGACCTTTATTTGGATGTGGAATTACCAGCATATTTATACGTATCCTAAATATCTGGAAACCAAGCGCGGTGTCGGACATTTGAAGTGCATTGCCGAGTATCCGTGTTTATCATTACCTATTCTTCAAAACATGCAGTAACGATATGATCAGCCGTAAAGTATCTTGCCGCTCTAACCGGAAACCTATGTTGGCTAAACTCCTCCTCAACCAACAATTCCGTGTCCCGCTACACTATGCCTAATATTTGGCCGGACCTATTGGGTCAAGGAAATCTGTTTTCAAGTGCTCCAATTCATTAATACCTCCTCGACTTTTTGATAGCAAAATATCTATAACAAAGCTTGACTTTGACTGAATATTGTGCTCTTTTTCTTCATTCTGTATGAGTTTGAACTTAGTTCTAGGATTTGCTTAACTAATCGAATTAAATGGCTGGTCTCTCTTATTCTAGTCAAAAAACTGATAGCCAACCCATTCGGGTACTGCGGAACTTAGTAGTCCCCTTCACCAACTACTTTCAGCTTCACTGTGCCGCCATGTTGGCGTATCTGGAGCAACTATACATGATTTGACCAGAATATAGCAGCTTGACATGGCGATCTCGTATATTTGGCCTAGATGGTCTATGTTGGGCTCCTCAAACTTTATTCCTTTGGGGCCTCCACCTTCGCTGCTACATGCTACCCTCCATATTCGGGTCTGTCGGTCCTGTCAAGTTATCCACGTGTTGAAAGACGTCCATTTACTATATTATTAACCATTTAAATCCCTAGTGTTGTATTTTCTATCTGTTGACTTGTATCTAGACAGTCAGGGCATTGGGGAGCAAGGAAATATCAGAGATTTCATTCTAAGTCTTACATTGATCTAAGCAAAAGATGTCCCAAGTTTACCTTAAACGTAGCTAATTCCTACATTGACTTCAGCTTTTCGGTACTTGTTATAGAGCCCAAAATATGATACCAGTTAACAATAACCCAACCAGTAACCAATCTTGTTCATGTATACGAGACACTGTGTGTTGCTGATTTAGATCGTCTTGGCGGATGCACTGGAGCTCATCATAGTAACAAATGCCGCGACATACGCTGTGTTCTGAACTTTTAGACAGTGATGATTTGAAATATAAACCTAAGTAATAAGTTATGTAAATCATCCATAGGTAGGACTTATGGCTAAGAACTGATATCATCACAGAGTACTTAGAAGTTCCGAGCTATTTACCATGTTCTTCTAAAGGCATACTAAGTATGCGTCTATAAGAATAAGCAGTCAGGGTCCCATCCAGTACTGAGTTACTGAGACTTGTCACTGGTTCCGCTTGAATGGTCATATCATGCTAGGTAAACTGAAAGCATATCCCTGTCATATGTATCATCAATCAGGGCACTTGTAAGTAAGTCTTTTTATTTGTTACTTCTAACTCATAGGCCACTATGTACTTGGAAGGAAACTAGTTCCGCTGCGAGTTGGCAAGACAACTTTAAAAGACCACCCTCGCGACTGCATCTAAGCACAAGCAGTGCAGACGGCGGCCGCAGAAGCCTGAACCTGCAGAGCCTCGAGGAAGCCACAGTTGTCAAGGACACAGTTGATGGCCGAAGCCTGAATAGCGCTGGAACTGGCGCACTGGCAAGCAATGTTGCTGCAGCCAACAGCGGAGGCAGCAGAGGTGATGCAAGGAGCCTTAGAAACATCGTTAGCAATTGAAACACTGCGGCTTTTCAGGATTGACTGACACCACAGGTAGGGATAGCAGAGGTCTCGGGACAATCAGTAGGGTTGGCCTGGGGCATGGCAAAGGCAGTGCCGAAGAGAGCAGCGACGAGGAAAGAGGTAGAGAACTGCATGTTGAAGAGTGGCTTCTTATTGATTGCTGAAGACTAAGTGGTAGAGTGTTTGTGTTGAGATGGTTGGCTATCTGGTTTGAGGACAAAGGCTCAGTATTTATAGACGAATTCTTCTATAGTGAATCACATATAAACATGGTCTTCATGTCTCATTCATGGATGTTCTCCTGAGCTCGGCATTCTCAATTTCCTTCAATAAATCAGAAGCCATGTGAGCCCTACTCCCTGTCCAAGAGATCCCTGATAAACTGCACTTCCCCACGATTTCGCATGCCGTTGTAACCTCAATGCCAGGATTCCCCTCGTTTGTCGGCCAGTCGAGAACGGCACAGCTTTCCCCATGGGGCGCTATGACCTCTGTAGATCTTTAAAAGATCGCAATTAAGGCCCAAAGCGGGCGATCGGCCGATACACGGATTTCGCACGCCGAGGAATGCAACTCTGAATTCTCTTGGTCGGTCCTACATGTGAATTATGCTGCTCAATTATGTAAGAGGCTGTTCGTATGATGCTGGCGTTGTTTGGTGCGTTTGTAGTTGCTGGGTGAATCCTGCTTCGGGAATTGTCACATGCTGAAACGCAGAGAGAGGGGGGAATATGCCGCTGCCTGGAAACGCTGGGAACTAGTACAACCTTAGTTCCCGGTCATTAGTTACCTTCT